GCTCCACTACCCACTTACCGTGCGGTAATGTTGGTCCGTACAAAGTTCGAGACTTTGCGATTTCCCTCCTGTCTGCGGGAATGTCTCTCATGGCATTTCTCCTTGCAGTGAAATAATTTGCCAATCAAAATGTGGAGTGTTGGCCGCAGAGATGGCAAAGTGCTGGTCACTGTGTGGCAACTGTTAGCGTTTATTGTGTGCTGTGACTCTTCGGCTGTGCACTATAACAGCGAGGAGTGTACGAACCAAGACATCAATGCCCGAGAGAGAGCTCTCACTTGCTCTCTCAAGACTCTTGACGACGATTTAAGAGTCGCGAATCTTACGAGTGTGGCTGTGGACTCTGTTGCGCGCTTGTCTCTCGTGTGCAACGATGTCTACTTTTTCCAGAGTGTCTTGTCACCCTACACCCTGTCGGGGTTTGTGCGAGTGCGGGAACTCAATGTGGAATTTTGCAAGATTAGTGAACTGAAGGATAATGCGTTTATTAATCTCAGAAATTTAAGAAATTTAACACTTCGGACTAGAAACTTGGACTGGCCCGTGATGAGCTTGACCGCCAAGCCAGAAGTGTTCCGTCCTCTGCACCAGCTGGAGCGGTTAGATCTCAGCACTAACAATATTTGGGAACTGCCAGCTGGTGCCTTCTGCCACCTCGCCAACCTCAAACTGCTCAATCTAAGTCACAACCACCTGCAGGACATCACGCAGCTGGGGTTCGGCGGGGGCTCCTCGGACAGAAGCGTTTCCTCCTGCAGGTCCGACGTCAGTTCGCTCGATCTCTCTCACAACGACGTGACGGTGTTAGTGTCGGGCTCGCTGCAGGGCCTCGAACAGCTGCAGCATTTGTATCTCCAAAACAACGAACTCGGTAAGGTGGACGACAATGCTTTCCAAGGCCTGCGGAGCCTCCACACGCTCGACATTTCAAATAACCGTCTGGTGGCGCTGCCGGAGGACGCGTTCGCGCACACGCCAGGCCTCATGTACTGTCGGGCGAGGAACAACTCGCTCTCCGTGCTGGCGCCGGGGCTCTTCGGGGGGCTCGACCACCTCGTCGAGCTCGACCTCTCCTACAACGAACTCAAATCCGAATGGTTAACGTCCTCCATCTTCCAGGGGCTCGTCCGCCTCATGCTGCTGGATCTCTCGCACAACAAAATCTCCCAGCTGAACCAGCAGGTCTTCAGCGACCTGTACACGGTGCAGTTCCTCAGGCTCTCCCACAACCAGCTCAAGACGATACCCGCCGCGGCGTTTGCAGCCTGCGTCAACCTGCACACGCTCGACCTCTCGTACAACCAGCTGACGAGCGTCCCCGACAAGGCTTTTCAGGGAGTCGGTGTGCTGAGCTTCTTGGCCCTCGACAACAACAACATCAGCGAAGTGGGTCCGAATTCGCTGAAGAACCTGAGCAGCCTGGCGGACCTGAACCTCAACGGGAACGAGCTGACGGCCATTCCAGAGGCTGTGGCCCACCTGAAGTATCTGAAGACCTTGGACCTCGGGGAAAACCAGATTTCGGACCTCGCCAACATGCCCGTCAAGGGTCTGGAATTCCTGTACGGTCTGAGACTCGTGAACAACAAGATTAGGGGAAATCTAACGAAAGACACTTTTAGTGATATTCCTTCCCTTAAGATACTAAATTTAGCAAAGAATTCCATAACGGCCATTGAAACAGGCACGTTTGATAAAAATTTGAATTTGCAAGCAGTTCGCATTGATGCAAATCAGCTTTCCAGTATAAATGGGCTTTTTGAAAAGTTGCCAAATTTGTTGTGGTTGAATGTGTCCGATAATAATATTGAAGTGTTTGATTACCATTTCGTACCGCAAAGTCTAGAGTGGCTAGATTTACATAAAAACAAAATCAGTGAGCTTGGAAATTTTCTAGAAAGACACGACTTAAATTTGCAAACTCTCGATGCTAGTTTTAATAAGTTGCAGTACATCAACAGCATCCAAATTCCCGATAGTGTTCAGTTGTTATTTTTGAACGATAATAAGATTTCAGTTGTCGAGCCGTTCACGTTCTTCAAGAAAGTGAATCTGACCCGAGTTGACCTGTTTGCCAATCAGCTGTCAAGGATGGACATGTCAGCGCTGAGGCTCTCTCCCGTGCCCGTCGGAAAGTCCCTCCCGGAATTCTACCTGGGAGGGAACCCCTTCATCTGTGACTGTAATATGGAGTGGCTGCAGCGGATCAATGCATTAGAACACCGAAGGCAGCACCCCACCATCATGGATCTGGAGAGCATTTACTGCCAGATGCCATTCGCTCGCACGGGAGCCTTTATTCCTCTCGTGGACGTGAACCCCTCGCAGTTCCTCTGTCAGTACGAGACGCACTGCTTCGCTCTCTGCCACTGCTGCGAGTTCGACGCCTGTGATTGCGAGATGACGTGCCCCGACGGGTGTGGGTGTTACCACGATCAGTCTTGGAGATCAAACATTGTCGATTGTTCTCAGCAGGACGTGCAACAAGTGCCTGACCGCATTCCCATGGATGCCACGCAGGCTTACCTGGATGGCAACGACCTGAGGAACCTTTCGTCTCACTCCTTCATCGGCCGTAAGCATTTACAAATATTGTATGTTAATGCTTCTAACGTCAGGTCCCTCGATAACGAAACTTTTAGCGGGCTGAGTCGGCTGACGGCGCTCCACCTCGAGGACAACCTCCTTGAGGCACTTCGGGGGAACGAGTTTCAAGGCCTCGAGGTTGTCAGGGAATTGTACCTTCACAACAACCGTCTGAGATACGTCCATCAACACACCTTCGCCATGCTGTTCCACCTCGAGGTCCTCACTCTCCACAACAACCACCTCATTAACTTCCCCGTGTGGAGACTGGTAGACAACCCATACCTCAACCACGTCTCCCTGAGCACCAACCAGTGGTCCTGCCAGTGCCAGTTTGTCGAGTCTTTCGGCATATGGCTGAACGGCAACGAGAGGAAGGTGTCGGACGCGAGGGAAATCAAATGTTACACCGACGTCGCCGAAGAGGAGCCTGGTTCTTACATCATGGAATTCAACGTGACGACCTGCATGAACACCTCTTCATCTTCGACTGTCGTCCGGCCCATAGTGTTGGACAACTTGTTGCATCCAGTTATTGCTACATGTGTCGCCTTCGTCGTCGTGGTTATCCTGCTGTTATGTTTCGTGTACCGTGGCACCATCCGCGTGTGGATTTACTCGCAGTGCGGCTACAGAATGTGCCACAAGAATGTCTCCTCCGACGACCGAGATAAATTATTCGACGCCTTTGTATCCTACAGCTCTAAAGACGAGGCCTGGGTCAACCAGGTGTTAGCCGGCGAGCTGGAGCGAGGAGATCGGCCGTATCGCGTGTGTTTGCACTATCGCGATTTCCCCGTCACCGCCTACATCGCCGAGACGATCGTGGAAGCCGTGGAGTCTTCTCGGCGCACCATAATCGTCCTGTCGAAGAACTTCATCGAGAACGAGTGGTGTAGATTCCAGTTCAAAAGCGCCCATCACGAGGTCCTCAAGAAGCGGCGACAGAGACTCATCGTCATCGTCCTGGGCGAGATCCCCGCGCGGGACCTCGACCCCGACCTCCGTCTCTACCTCAAAACAAACACGTGCATCTATGCCAGTGACAAGTTCTTCTGGGAGAAGCTGAGATTCGCCATGCCAGACGTTCAGAACAGCCAGCGAGTGGTCCACACCTACAGTTCCATCCCCGAGAGATCTTCCTCTTCGGCCAACAAGTACAGTGTCAACAGTCCAGCGTCAATGCACCATAATTTACACGGTGGCTCTGATGCGTACTGGGCCTAACGCGTCTCCTAGTGGTCTTGCCGAATTGTAGTGGTCGTGTTGAGCTCTGAAGATCCTGCGGAACTCCCTGGTAGTCCTGTGGTACTCCAATGGTGACCCTTAGTCAAAGAGAGCTTTGTCGAAGGGCTCAGTCCTAGGTAGAGCTCTGAGATTATGCAACACGGCTGTAGTTTTACAAGGGCTCTGTGATGAAAGCTCCTGGCTGTGGTTATAACGAAAAGGGCTTTAGTGAGAAGGATACATAGCTTTAAAGTGACACATGTGGTTATAATGGACACGAAACGGAAGTGTAAGAATCGAGCTTGTGATGCAATGTTTTCGAAGTGTAGTGGAAGCAGGACCGTTTGTGGACGATGGAGCCATGTACATGTTATAGCAATCTCCATCGTTGAATATGTAACATCTAGTCACATATATATTTATATATATTGTATATGAAAGTGAACAGTGACTTGGCTTTCACTCCGTCATGTATATGGAAAAAAAAAACAACGAGCCAACAACTTTTTATGGCAAATATCTACCGTTAAAAAAAGCTTTTTTGTAAATGTGCGTGAAGGAATATGAAAAACAAACAAAACAAAAATACCCGCAGTATCTATTTGGCCTCAGCTGTTATTGTCATAAAGACATGATAAATAAAACTTTTTTGATGCATAAATATGTTGTGCTATGGATGTGATCATTGGTGCATGCAGCCAGTTATTTATTCAGACTATGCTTTATGGATATCGTTCACATGTGTTTTATTGACATATGGGAAATGTATCGTCACTTCAAACAGAGATCATGTTTATGTTATTGTTTATCTCTGTAATGTGTAACCATTGTCACGTCGTTTGAAAAAGACTTTTGTTAAAATCTGTTTGAGAAAAAAAAAAAAACGTAATCATCATGCATATTATTTTTATTTGTTATTATGATGTATGTTTCATGTCTAATAGTAACGACTTTGATATCTTTTGGGAAATGTTGGATATGTAATGTTACGCGACCTGACCTGACCTGACATGGTTATTGCTGCATAATGTAATCAAGCAAACATTGACAGCAAGCGCTTATTGCTATAAAATAAAATCAATGTTACGTCCATTTCTAAGATGTTGAATAAGAAAGTGACATCTAATGTATTGCTGTTTTGTATAACGAGATTTTGCCCACATAATCTGTGATAAAACCAAAGTCAATATACATCTTATTTAACATTGTAAATATTTTTTCTATACAGGATAATTTTTCTTTTGTAAAATAATGTAAATAGATTAATGTCTAATTAAAATCCAATGGGCAATA